TCCGTTATGTACATTCATATTGGTCTAACATTTATGTGAGTAGCTTCGAAGAATTGTTCGCTCTGAGCGCTCCACTCCTCAACGTCGTGAAAGTTGGGCCAGGCAGATTCAAATTGCGAACACCCAAAATGATACGCCACTGCCCACTCTCAATCTGATTCTCGATGTTAGAACGCGGTGGTCGTCGACTCATCAAATGCTTCGTGTGTCATGTATTATAAAATTCGTTTGCTTTTAAATTGATCCTCTCCCAGGTCGTGCACTTGATTACTGGCAAGTCGTCGATTCGTTTGCTCACTTTCATCGAGACCTTTGGGCGTACAAATTGACAAGCGAGGAATGGGAGGCAATTGAGCTTGTTACCGGTTGGCTAAAAACCTTCCGTCTCGCAACAACAGAAATGTCAACAACGCATACTCTGATGCTCTCCACGACACACGCCATCTTTCGAGGCCTCCAGGATGACCTGCAAGACATCATCCGAAATCTTCCCCCTACGGCTTCGCCTTCCCTCAAGAAGGGTCTTATGGATGCACACCTCAAACTTAGTGATTACTACTACAAAATCGACGCTTCACCATTCTACCTGTGGTCATCATGTGCGTGTCATATTTACATCTATTCTTGGAGAGTCTCTTACACTTATTTTAGTATTAGATCCACGCATTTCTTACGAAGGATTGAGGGACGAGTTTGCCGGGGACCCCATTCTCGCGAGTGAGCTAGAGACATCCAGAGTCAATCTCTGTGCTCACTTCAACACCAAATATATGCCACCACCACCTTCATCACAATCCACTCCGCTTTCATCAGTACCTTCATCATCAACTGTTTCAATTGCGTCAAACTCTAGCTCCAGTACCTCGCAAATACCCCGTTCTCCTCAGAAAAGCTTTACCACAAGGTTTCAAAGAAGGCGTGTCGTTTCTGATGAATTAACGGAGTTTTGGAACTTGCCACAAGAAGACTTCAAGAAATGTGATCCAGTGCGGTGGTGGTTCCAGCGGAGGGGACAATTCCCAAACCTTTACCGCCTCGCGTGCGATATTTTCTCAATTCCAGGTAGGCAACGTCTTCATCATAAAATTGACTACTATCATTGACGTCGTGTTCTTTAGGGTCTGCAGTGGCTGTTGAACACATTTTCTCTGGAGGTAGAGATACAATCTCACTCCGCCGTGCTAGTCTTAAGCCTGAGACCATTAGGGTTCTTATGCTCGTAAAACATAGACTCATCCTCAGGCGCAAGGTAAATCGTCGTAGATGATTTTCGCCTTTTTAAGTCTTTTATTTCAGTCGTTTATATTCTTTTAATACGTTCTGTTTCGCATCCTTCAGAAAACTACTTACTAGTAGGGAAGACGGCCGTCTTCACCCGTTTTCGTCCCGTCCCGTCCCGTTACAATTCGAGTGCATGGAAAAACGGGGCGTCCATCCTGCTCAGAAGCCCGTCAAGACCGTAAAACAGATGGCCGTACCCGTCAGACGGGCGGTGCGCAGCCCTAATTGATATTCAACATCATTTCGTACGCGAACGGCTTGGCGACAATTCAATCATAATAGAACACTGCGCATCAGAGGACAATCTAGCCGATGTATTTACCAAGGCATTACCGCACCCAGCACATGAGAAGTTTAATTCTCGCATCGGCATGGACTCAGAGTTGAGGGGGAGTGTTGGATAGTCATAGCGGACCAGCAACTCCGGCACGCCGATGCAGTGCATGCTCTCGCGCATGCTCGACCTATCTAGGACTAAGTAGTATATTGTAGAGTATTCTAGTAGTTACATATTGTAGTATATAAGGAGGTCTTATCAGTGCCCCCCTAATTCCTGCAGGAATCCGGTCATTCCGGTGGATTCCGGAGGAATGAAATTTGGCAGGGAGGCCTGCTATTTTCACCATTCCGGTGCCTTACCATTCCGGCAGAATTTGGGCATTCCGGAATTGACACCAGAATGATCCGCGGAATGCACAGGAATGGAATGCAACGGAATCCGGTCCTTTGTTTGTTTGTTTTACTTCTGTTACCAAACAAAGGCAACGTTACCAAACAAATTCAAGACCATGCCTTAGACTCGCTAGCCAGTCGTTCTGAGGTGTTTGCCACTTGTTGTGGCTTTGTTGTGGGGTCAAACATCAGGCGGACTGTGAAAAATAAGAACACCTCAGAACGACTGGGACAAACGAACACAGTTTGGCAGGGACCCCTGCATGTGACGCTGACTTAGAGAAATTTCCGCGAACATTCACCCACCTCAAAACACCCGTCCGAAACATCAAAAAAAAAAAGGTTTTTCTGGCTACACCTTTAGATAGATCATTTAATTCAAATAATCCAATTACAGTAGAATTGAAAAAGTAGATTTTTTTCGACACCTTGCGAGGATTGAGGACTGCGGCTATGACGATGTTTGTCTGACAACTCCAACAACTCGTCCATCACTCCATTACGTGCTCTCGAACTGATCTGAAGTGGCCATAAAAGTGGAAGCGATGCGATGTTTGGGAGACTGCAGGGAATCCAGGACTGTTTCACGCGAATATTGCAGATCTTATAGGTCCTCTCCATACATTTCGGAAAACCCGACACCAGTCTGCGCGATCCCGATTCCAATTCATTATCGTGCGAGGATACATGCGTGGACTGTACCGAAGGCAAAAAATTACCACCTACCGTGTTCTGGCCACCATCTGAGCTGCCAGCTCCAGGAACTCTCAACCCCCAACTAACCTGTGGCCAGGGCCTGAAAACCTCAAACCCCCAACTAATATGAGTCAAAATCCAGCGGCGACGCCAGGTGAAGACGTCGGCAAAAGCGGTGGTGGATGAGAGTGTTGCAAGAGAGCCAGAGGGAGGCTCTAAACGAGATCGAGAGGATGGAAGGTTTGGGAAAGAACCCCTTGGTTTTGATGAAGACTCGGGGGAAGGGGTGAGTAGTGGTCGAGTCGTGCATGTCGTTGTGGTTGTACAGTATACCATAGTGTGAACCGTGAAATTTCACTAAGTCCCGCGTCACAAAAGCGTGACCCTGCCAAAGGGTGTTCGTTTGTCCCAGCCGTTTCTTGAATGGAGCTTGCGGAGTTTGAAGAAACGGATGGTCACGAGCCTAACCATGCCTTTCCACCCCCATGACAGCCACGATAAACCGACAACGCCACGCCAACCCACGACGACGACGACTCCACAACGGCGACGACCACCCAGCAACGAACGGCAACGACCACCGCCAGCGACGTGGCAGCCAAACAGACGACAACAACAACACCACCACGATCCACGAGCACCCACCACGATCCACGAGCACCCACCACGATCCACGAGCACCCACCACGATCCACGAGCACCCACCACGATGACCACGCAAATGCCGCAACGCCACGTCACAACGACGACAACGCGACGAACCCACCACCATCCACGAGCACCCACAACGACCACGCACGCCGCAACGCCAACGACAACGACGACGTTGACGTCGTTCGTCACCCGCATCTCACGACCCACGTAACGACCACCCACTGCCCACGAAAACACCATAACACCCACGAAAACACCACGAACACCCACGAAAACACCACGGCGCCCACGAAAACACCACGGCGCCCACGAAAACACCACAGCGCCCACGAAAACGCCCAGCGCCCACGAAACGACGCCCAGCGCCCACAAAACGACGCCCAGCGCCCACGAAACGACGCCTAACGCCCACAACGCAACGCCCAGCGGACACGACACCAACGAGGACGACAACACGTGAGGACGACGACACGACGCGATGACGCGTCGACGATGCGCGCCAACGAGACCACTCCCTCCCCCTCCCCTGCTGCTCACAACTCCTTCCCTCTCCCTACTGCTCACCCACTACCCACCATCCCCTTCCCCCTCCCTTACTCCCCCTCCTTTCCTGCTCACCACTCCCTCCCTCTCCCTACCCCCTTCATTCCCAACCCCCTCCCTTCATTCCCTACCCCCTTCATTCCCTACCCCCTGTCTTCATTCCCTACCCCCTGCCTTCATTCCCTCATTCCCTACCTCCCCTCTCCCTCACTGCCCTCCCTTCAGTTTTTCCCCCCCCTCTAGTTCTTCATTCCCCCCACTCCCCAGCACCCCTACCCCTCCACTCCTTCCCCCTCACTCCCTCCACTCCCTCCACTTTTCCCCTCTCCCTCCACTCCTCCCCCTCCCTCTATCTAGATTCAATGTAGATAAATTCCATCATGTATTTTTAATAAATGAGTTTAAATGAATCTTCCCTCTTTAAGTATAAATGTCTTAAGGAATCCTAAGATTAAGCTGTCAGCAGAAGGCCTGAGTTAGATTCAGTCACATAATATCTCCTTACTTTGTCCAAGGTCTGATCAGAACTAATACTGAAAACTGATCAGCTTAAAAAGTACTGAGAGAAGTATGCAGAAGTGTGTATTGGTGTAAATGTATGTTGTATCTGTGATTTTACTTCTATTCCAGTCCCATTCCGTGGCCGGTCCCATTCCTGTGGATTCTGGTCCCATTCCTGCGGATTCCTGTGGATTCCTGCAGATTCCGGTCCCATTCCTGCGGATTCCGGTGGATTCCTGTGGATTCCAGCGGATTCCTGCAGGAATGGGAGGGGCACTGTAAAGTACTGGTATATAAGGAGGGCTCGAGAGCCCCCAATTCATTATCCTTCTTGCTTTATACTCCCTCGTATTTGCTGTTCCAACACTAGGTGGTTCGGTTCGGTTCCCTCAATATCTGGGTTGGTCCTAGACCAGTTGCGGTCCATGGTTGCGCGTTTTGGGGGCAAAAAACCAGACTGAACTGAACTTGCGAACACTAGTGAGGGAGGCCAAGTTGGGAAACTGAGGAGGTACACAAAGAACTCTTTGACACACAGTTTGGAGACCATAGACTACTTAAGCTGGGTAGGTCACTGTAGCATCAATTAGGAGAGATGAAATAGACTGTTTTATTGGGTATTGGGGTACATTAGGCTAGTAGCGGGCTGCACATTAATCCTCCTCTTCTGACAACACCAGACCTTCCCATTCCTTCTTTGCTGCCTCCACCTCATCTTTGGTAACCCTAGCAGCTTGAATAACTTGAGGTGCATCATCAGCCTTGGCATGTTTTCTGATGTTATTAGAATTTGTACCAAAACTGAAACGGAAAAGAACGTACTTTGCCACCCTGAGCAGATGCTTATGCAAATGCGAAACAATGTTCACATCCTTCATCTTCTCAGTGAAGTCCTCAAGTTGTTTAAGGTGAGCAATGAACTTGTTCTTGTAGGTTGCAGCTTAAAACTGGATGTCGACGTGTTCTCCTGTTTGCCACTCGTTGAGGCAATTGTCAATCTAGATGCCGTTTGAGAAGGAGGAAGAAAAAAAGTGTAATGAACTGCATACCATGGTGAGGACCAGTGCTAGGGTAACCAAAGAGAGCTCCGCGTTCTCCAAGAACTCTGGGTTCATGATGCCTTCATCTGTTTTGTGCTTGAAATACATCTTGTTGATGATCATTTGAATGATGGGGTGACAGTATAATCCAGTGCAATCAGCCAGATTCTAAAATAAAGATGTTGTAGTCATATGAAGGAGTCACAAAATGTTGAATGTGCCTTGTACGCGAAGCTGATGCAGTCTTGCAGATCCTCGACAAGATTGCAGTTGTCACACTTGGCATTTGTGGGACTGATTCCATAGGCAGTCTTGATGAGAGGGCGTGCAAGGGTTTCAGCTGCTCTCAGGCTTGGGAGGCACGCACCATGATCTAGGTCCAATATCAATGACAGTAGATATGAGCGGAATGGTTACCCACCAATTTCATTATGTCCTGATCAAACTCTATGCGGATTCCCCGACCATTGCAAGCCTCGACCCAAGCTGCTGCCACTGCCTCGCAATCTTCAACACAATCAGGGTAGGGTTCAACAGCTCCGATCTGAGCATGATAGATAGATATGGCTTCTTCAACAACGGACTTGGTCATGTCATCGAAGTCTGAGGTGCAAATGCAGCCTTGCATTCCTGAAGACTCTGACTTCGATCATTTGATTATGACTGTCATCTCAGCAGCTGGGGTAGTCAGAGGTTCCTTCCGGATGCATGGGTTTGGGGCAGAGACCTATGCTATGTTAGTGATGGTACAAGAAAGGAGGTCCACAACATAGTGACCTTCGACTGGGTGCTGTTGGTAGTGCTTGGAAGTCCAGTCTCAAGACTGAAAAAAGACTGAGACTGGACTGGACCAAGACTGCCCAAGACCGGAAATTCTCAGGACTGTCAAAGACTGCAACCGTGGTCCGGTCTTCGGTCTCTCACGATTTCGGAAAATTGAAGACCAACAAAAGACCGGTCTAACCGGTCTTAACCGGTTTTACTGAAACTCGTAAACAAACAAAACTTGTAACCAAACAGAACTCATAACCAAATACAAACATGCTCTCTTCCCATCACCACCATCCCCATCACCATCACCACCCTTCGTGACCACCACCTCGCATCGTGAGCGCCCACCATGGGCTAAACGACATCAACTGTTGCCTCACACAACGACATCGACCACTGCCAACCACTGCCACATTACCCCCTCGCCCTCTGCCTCCTTTGGCGTTGACAACAATGCACGACAATGGCCATGCAATGACGATGGAGACAGGCGGACGACGATGATGTGATGTGGCAGCGACGTGGGCTAAACGACATCGACAGCTGCCTCACGCATCGACATCAACCACTGCCAACCACTGCCACATCACCCCTTTCCCCTCTGCCTCCTTTGGCATTGACAACAACATGCGACGACCAACAACAACACGACATGGCACTGATGACGGATGACAACAACTACCACAGACAACCACAACAACAATGGATGACTGAGGACCATGCGAAGAGTATGAAACAGGCGATGAGGGACAACAACAAGGATGCACGAGTGGTCCTCCCCCTGCCCCCTCATTCACCCTTGTGTAGTACTAGTTTATTTAGTAAATTACATACATATTTTCCCCATGTCAGTAGCTACAAGACCGGTTCTCAACTGGTCCTCAACCAGTTGAGACTGAGACTGGTTGAGACTGGTCCTTCAACTGTAAAAAACTGACGAAAACCACACTGAACCAGTTGACATCGGTTCAGTCTGGTTTTTCGTGGTTCTTCAACCTGTGAGGACCGGTCTCAGTCCTGGTCTTGTCAAATTTGGACAAAAGACCGGACTGGACTGGACTTCCAAGCACTAGCTGTTGGGCTTTGGCCTATGAGTTACCATCAGTAAGGAGAGGCTTGACTTCAGAAAATTCTTCAATGCAGGATGTGCATTTGGATAGATGTGACGTGATGGTTCTGGGTACTCTACACTGGCCGTGTGGGTCCTAAATTCATCATCACTATCTAGAAGTAACAATTCCATCAGATGTGAGTTCTTTTATAAGCATGATGACTTACGCTCAGTGTCCTCCACTGCAAACTCATGCTGATAATAGGTTCCATCACCAGCCATATAAAAGGATTGGGAGCGGGGGCTGTAAGGACCAGGGCCATGATGTGGAGCTGACTCGGCAACTTGAGAAGGTTGCTGTTGAGGTGTAAGAGGTGGTGGTGCTGATCTATTAGGTGCAATCATCATGGGAGGCCAAGCCTGACCAGTGACACATCTGATTAACTTGGGTGGCTGTTTGTCAGCTTGTTCATTGCTGTGAACTTGGAGCTGCATGGACAATGAAAAAAGGCTAGGTTAATCAGGTTTAACAATGTACTGGTGTAGCATTCACATTTTCCTTTTCCTGGTCCACCCAATGAACAAGGGTACGTCCGTTTCGGACAGATGTTTTGATGATTGGTGCCAGCATAACCGCAGTGAACCAAATAAATAAGATTTAGAAGATCAACGTCTCAAAAAAAAAGAAAGAAAGAAATATACTCCATTTCCTGCTGAGGCAGGATGATCTTCATCTTCGGATTCAGGGCCCATCCCTTCATCAACATCACCTGACAATGAATCGTGTGCATGAACCAGTAATTTTTGGAAGCCCATGATTTCTTCTTGGGCTTGATGAGCTCGAAGCACCTGGGTATAGGCCTTGTCCTGGGCTATGACTTGTTTCTAACCTTTTTCTGTGACTAAATGTGAAGTCAGTCATGTAATGGCACAATATACGAATAAATAAACTGACCTATTTGTTGTTGCTCTGCAGACAGCGTACACTGGCAGCCTGATGGCGTTGGTTCCACTTCAATTGGAACAGCAGCAGTAGCCTTGAGGGTAGATGTGTGAGTAGAATGAGCCATGGCTGAACAAAATAAATGAACAAAAGGCTGGAAAGAGTGTGTGAAGGGGATAAAAAATGGTACGTGGAAATTCAAATGATGGACATGGTGGCACTGCGGGCCCTGGCTTATACATCCACTGGGATTATTGTGAAAAAATGGGGTAGATATTAATAATAATGCTACCTTTTAACTGCCGAAATTACTTGAAAGATATTTAAAATCTTTTATTTCATTTTATAACTTTTTTTCCATCGGAATTATTAAGAATTTTGGGGGTGGACAAACGTCGAAGATATTCAGAGAAGATATTTCTACAAAAGGCAACCATATATGTGCAGCAAATATGTGGAAGATATGTTGATGCCACGAGGTGAAGAAACTTCTTAATATAGCAGCCTTTTCGGATCTAAGTAATACTTGCTTGATAAGGCTATTTGCTGTTTACCTCGACACCTTCCATCCACGACGTCGTCAAAGCGTACAACGACGAACTCGAACTCTATTCCTCAACGTTACGACGACTACCTGATGGCAACCAAAGCTCAACATTCAACAGGGAGATGGGAATGCACCCAGCAACAACAAAGTATCTGCTATCAAGCTCAAGCAAGCATGACCCTTGAGTTGCCATTTGCTCATGACGAAGGCAAGTCGTGCTCACTTGACATCAAACCACCACCAGCCACTCATGGCCGGCACCAACCCCAAAGATAACCCGTATCTTGCGCATCATTATAATGGGGCAGGACCCGAGCCTGCACCAAGTAGCTACACTCACGCAAACTCGGCATATTCACCGAATCAGCCACAACTCCACTATGCCTCCTCTTCACCAGCTGATGAATGATCTGTTCATTGGAAGCTACTGGCCTCTCACGCGAATTCTACGGCATCGAATTGCTCCACTGCATCAGCTTCGTGTACGTCTAACCTCAGGACGAATCAGACCTTGTTTGGCGTTGGTGGGTGGCTGCATAACGCTTAGGGATATATCATGTTTTCAGCGAGACGTACCTACGCTTTGCCTCTTTTTCTGGTTTTTATGACGCATTTTGACAGCGTATCAACTCTCTGAGCAGCAATCAAGCTCAAATCGGTATTCGACCTGATCCAAGCAGCGGAAAAGGCAGGCAACCAAAGTCTGGAGGAGAAGAAGAGGTTGGAGGAACAGGCGGCTGCCAAGAAGATGTCACAGGCGTTGTTCAAGGTATTCCCATCTAGTTTTCCTTTTTCTTTTCTTACTAACGCTCGACAGGGAACGAAACAAGAAGTCGCNTATATCCTCCGCGAGACGTGCGACCGCCCTCCCCTCCCATTCTGCTATACTACGCGAAAAGGCCCTGTTGAGGGCTGTGGCACTGCAGATCCTTAGAGAGGCGTGAATGAATGTTAAAAAGGACGCGCCTGAGCCTGGGAGCGATTATGGGAAGATTGATATGAGGAGTAGTCGCGTGAGGGAGGACGGAAGGACATGAGCGGCCCAATAGTTGTGTTCATGAATATCATCCCAGAATAAACCATGTTTTTGTGTACTTTACATTTGGAGACAGTTTTTAATGATCATTGTGAATATAGACCTGGAATTGACTATCCGTAAATTTTAACTAATGTTGTACATTGGACGTCGACTGTACATGTGTTACGCTGCCCCATCAAGACCGGCGTCAACCACCTGGCCATCCACAATAACCCTCGCGGCTGTTCCCTGCTCCACCGACACAACACGACCTGAGCAATGGTGAGGGTTAAGAACTTCGAAAAGACAAGAAAAAAAGGTTTGGTAAGTGTTTCAAGACCAGAAGGATGAAGAGGTCCTTACCTATTTCGTTTAGAGTTTTTCTAACCATTCCAAAACACCGTGCACCCCTCCTGGCCCAAAGACGATGTATCGTCTTTCGCAAAATGGTCCCACGCCACCCTCCGGCTTCCATAACCCTTCCTCCTCGCCATCCATCTCCCAGGCCCTGGAGACGACGCATTTCCGTCCGCTAAACGCCCTCTTTAGGTGCTTGCAATTTTTTCCAGGAGTTCCACAATGTTCTGCATCCCTCCCAGCCCAGGACGACATATCTCCGTAAAACGATTACACGCCGCCCTTCAGTGTCAGAAACTCTTTCACCTCGCCATAGCCCCCCCCGGCCTCGAGATGACGTATCGCCGTCCGCTCAATGCCCTCCCTATGTGGTGGCAAGTTTTCCGACCCTATCAGAACGTTCTGCACCCTTCCTGGCGTCAAGACAACGTATCGTCGTCCACAGAACCGTCAAACCTCACCCTCGGGTTTCCAAGACCCTTCCACCTCGCCATGGCGTCGAGATGACGTATCGTCGTCCGCTAAACACCCTCTCGACGCGTGGGTCGCCTTCGGATGTTGGATGGGATGGGTTGCAGTTGAGAACCTGCAAAAGACGAAGACAAAAAGGTTTGACCAGTATTTCAACACCATACGCACGAAGAAGAACTTACCTGTTTTATTTACTCTTTGCATCGACCCAACGTATCAACGTCCGCCAATCTCTCTCTACGACGTGGTCCTCCCGGGACCCCTTTCTCGTTTTTGGTCGACGTTGCAGGCTGGAACGATATACGCATGGTTAGTTTATGAAGGTTTCGCAAAGAGGTCGACATACCTTCGTTGTTCGATCGCTTCCTTGCGTCGTCGCCTCTCTTCCACCTCTCCAAGGCTGACTGGTAGCTACCACTTACATCATGTACTCCTGAGCTGTACCATAGAAGTTCCTGCTTAGCTACCGTGAATGAAATGAAATGAATTTTCATTCATTCACGGCACCTGTTTCATTCTAGATAATTTATTCTGTTTCATTCATTCCTGGCGACTGTTTCATTTTTTTCTTTCATTCCACCAGGGCAACTGTTTCATTCCTTGCTTCATTCTTCTCAGGTGCCTATTTCATTGTTAGAGCTGGGAAAATGATTATGTAATTGATACAAAATATTTAAGTGCCTTATTTGGCAACAGCATGCCTATCTCATTGTGTATTTGAGCCTCAAATGCAAAAGTACCCCCATATGGCCTCCCACACCACTGCAGTAGGGCACAACACATATCAGGCATAATTTATATTATT